TATGGCACTTAGTGCCCTGGTCTGGCCGATGTGGTGGTGTTGGGTCATAGGCTGGACTTGATCACAGAGATCTTTTCCAGCCTCTCTGTGATTCTGTGTGATTCTGTGACTTCTTCGACTCATCTGTTGAACTTGGTTACCTGCTTTTCTATAACTGTTCCTTCTTGGCCTGTATGCCTCTGTTTGCAAATGCATTCAATTAGATACAGTATTTTTAAATAATTTTATATTTCTTAGAATAGGCCAAAATTAGCTAGACCATCAGGTATCAGTTTCTGCTTTTCATGTCTTAATAGTGTGTAGTTCTCTGAATCTTACTATCTGGAAAGGCAAAACAGGCACTGACATACATCTTAAATAGTATAGTTAACATTTCTAAGTATTTACTGTTCCAGAATGGTTCAGATTTTGTTGGGAAAAACAGTTGTGGAATAATTTTTTTCCTTCCCCCAATATTTTCTTTATTAGATTATCTCATTCTTCTTGTGTGGATGAAGATTATGATTCTTTGGCCCTTTGTGATCCTATGCAAAGGATAAACTGTGAAGTTGACAGCTTACCAGAGAGCTGCTTTGACAGTGGTTTGTCAACCTTGAGAGATTCGAATGAGTATGATTCGGAAGTGGAATACAGGCATCAAAGGAATTTTCAGAGGTCTCAGTGTATGCAAGAAAGCTTTGGTGGTGATGCTTCTGATACAGATGTGAGTTCCAGACTTACTCCTTTCCTAAGAAACGCCTTTGGCTGAAAGCAAAATCAGTTTATTGTTTTTGAAATGAAACGCATCCTTGTCCATAGGCCAGTTGTAACTGAATATTTGGGAGTTTGCATTTAAATGATTTTTTTTCCAAAATGCGTAAATAGATACTCCTATTTAAAGGAAAATGTTTATTTTCATATTTTGATGGATTTTTGATGTAATAACTTGATTTTTGAAATATGTGTAGTTGTTAAACAATGTGGGAGAAAGGAACCCATTTTCTAATGATTAAAAACCAGGTACTATAGAAGTAAAATAAGTTCTGTTCACTTCTGTAACTATGCTGCCGTAGTGAATGAAAAAAATCACACATATAAGAAAAAAGAATACCGTTAGTGCATACATTGATTTACACAGTATGTCTCAGAGAATTTAAAAATGTACAAAGGTGTTACCATGTCCATTTTATTGCTAGTAAAATGGAGAGTGTTACTGGTAACTACATTGGAAGACTAATATCAAGCACAACAGAACACAGGGTGGTTTTTTAGAGCAGATCCTTTACTGTGGTTTTAGTAGAGACGTTTAGTCTCTAGAGTTGAAAAGGTCATGAATAGTGCTGATTACAGCTGTGCTGTATTTAATTTAGTTTGTATAGTAGTAGCATAGAGACTCGTGGGGAAATAATTTTCAAATAAGCATAAAACGAGCTTTGAAATAAAGTATTTGTTTATTGTAATTATTTTTTGAGCTGAAATTTTCCATGTGAAAATTAATGTGTTCTATCTGGAAACTGTGTTGAAAGCATATATGCCAAACAGCAAACATGTTTAAGGATGAAATTCAAGTCCTGCACTTGGGCCACAACAACTCCATGCAACGCTGCAGGCTTGGGGAAGGGTGGCTGGAAGGCTGTACGGCGGAAAAGGACCTGGGTGTTCTAATTGACAGTTGACTGAATATGAGCCAGCAGTGTGCCCAGGTGGCCAAGAAGGCCAACGGCATCCTGGCTTGTATCAGAAATTCTATCACCAGCAGAAGAAGGGAGGTGATTGTCCCTCTGTACTCAGCCCTGGTGAGGCCGCACCTGGGGTATTGTGTTCAGTTTTGGGCACCTCAGTACAAGAGAGATATCGAGGAGCTGGAGTGAGTGCAGAGGAGGGCAACAAAGCTGGTGAAGGGCCTAGAAAATAAATCTTATGAAGAGTGACTGAAGGAGCTGGGGCTGTTTAGTTTGATGAAGAGGAGGCTCAGGGGAGGCCTTATCACTCTCTACGACTCCCTGAAAGGTCATTGTAGAGAGGTTGGTGCTGGTGTCTTCTCACAGATAATTGGTGGTAGAACTAGAGGGAATGACCTCAAGCTGCAACAGGTAGATTTAGGCTGATTGTTAGGAAAAAAATTTTCACAGAAAGACTAGTCAGGCACTGGAATAGGCTGCCCAGGGAGATGATTAAGTCATCTTCCCTGGGGGTGTTTAAACGTTGTTTAGATGTCATGTTGGGGGATATGTTTTAGGTGTGGACTCTGAAGAGTAGGGTTATAGGTTGGACTTGATGATTCCAAGGGTGTTTTTGAACTTCAATATTTCTATGATTCTATGTAGGCTATAATAAAGAGCAAATATGCATGAGAACAGAATAGTCTTAATGTTTGGAATAGAATTGCACTGTTCTATTTGGGTATTTCTATGATTCTATGTAGGCTATAGTAAAGAGCAAATATGCATGAGAACAGAATAATCTTAGTGTTTGGAATAGAATTGCACTGTTCTATTTGGTCATTTATGTCTGTTTAATCCAAACTGTCATAGCAAATGTTTTAATCAATCATGGCTGTGTCTTTTGAAAAAATCATACTTTTCTCACTGGAGCTAATGCACTGGCTTGTACTTCCAGGTTCCAGAGATCAGGGATGAGGAAGCGTACAGTGCGGATAACAGCAGTACAGTGTTAGACTGGAAGCCCTCACGATCAGTAAGTCGAAGCAGCTCAGTTGCTTCAACAAGGAAATACATATCTGCCCTCACTCCTCAGGTAACCAGTTCTTTAGGGAAAAAAAAAAAGAAAGAAACCAAACCTGATGTTTCGTATTGAGAATATTGTTATATGAATTGAGATAAAGAGGTTCTTTTTATTTTCAGTCAGATGCAACCGAATGTGCTCCAAAATACCCCAGTTCAGAGAAGGCTTACAAGATTGTTCTTGCTGGAGATGCAGCAGTGGGAAAATCCAGTTTCCTTATGAGGCTTTGCAAGAATGAATTTCGAGGCAATACCAGTGCCACCTTGGGTATAGTTGTTGTTCTTAAAATACTAAAGGAAATTTCCTTGCTGTTTGTTGCTGAAGTGGGTTAAAAGATTACCCTCTATGACCGCTTAACAGGGTTTCCTGAATATGCGCCTGCAGTTTCTTAGTGAGATCTAATTGAGTACTAAAGCTAAGAAGTGCCTAACTGCTGTTTGGAGTGGGTAACAGGGTACTGCTGTGATTTAATTTCTCTTTGGAAAGCACCAAGCTTGTTCCTGAACAATGCAATAGAAAATGGAATCTCAATATGCTGAACTTAGAATATGTGTATGATCTTTTTCACATTTTTCATTGCTTTCTTGTCCTCTCAGCTCTTTACTTAGTATGTCGTATTATCCTTTGATGTCTTTCATACTCTTTGTCTCCCATTTCTTCAAAGTGTTATTGAAGCTTTGGTTTAAGTGCAACTGGGGGGATTTTTGACTAACTTGCTTATATTATGACAGCTGTCAACTGACACACTTCTCTTGCTGATTCCAAAGACTGATTTTTTGACTTCCAATCAAATCATAGTTGTATATTTGTTTTATTGCTTCTGAGTCAGGATTTTTGTTCTAATTTGTCTTTTTCCTCTTTGGCATTTTAAATAAAATCTATACTAGAAGACATTTTTTCTTCTTCCATAAAACTATTTAAAGCAGAGAGAGGTCTTCTTGGTAACTGGTCATAACGTCAAATTTATATCAGTGCTTACAGGAGAATGTATGAGTAAAATATTTCTTTAAATGTTTTTCTAAAGACAAATATGTTTATAGATTACTGCAGTTTAAGGCTATGAAAGTGACTGAAATCTCATGGTATATTAAAAGAGAAGAATTTTGAAATAACTATTGTATGTAGCACATAACTTTTAGTTTTCTGTGTTTTTTAAGGTTATTGATGTTTTTTATTAGACTATACACATTATTTTCAGGTGTGGATTTTCAGATGAAAAGACTAATTGTTGATGGAGAACCTACAGTGCTACAACTGTGGGACACAGCTGGACAGGAGAGGTGAGTCTCTGCACTTACGTAATTTCAATTGGTTTGTTTCTAAAGATGTCTTTTTTTCATCTAGGTGTAATAAAAAATATCCTCTAATTATTATATGGCCCTTTAGCAAGTCGGTATGACTGTATGTAAATGTCTATGAACAGATGTGATTTTGCTCACTCCAAGACAGGTAAATGTTTATTTCTTAGCCTTGGTGATACCTGAGGTAATCTTTTCCCTCTGCAGAGAGAAATAGGTGAAGTTCACCACAGCATTAATTATGTCCCTCTCTTGCAATACAAATAGACAGAATAGATGTGTATTGTTACTTCGATTTTTATTCTTTAGCTTTTTTTGTCCTTATAGACCTGTATTTCTGAGCAGGCTTTATCTTAGAGATTCCCTTTCCTTCACCCTGCTTCTGTCCTTGAAACTTGTGATCCTGATTTGCTTTATAGTTAGTGTGTGAAAACTTCTTCCCAGAGATATTCAAAAGACTTGTGTCAAAATTGTACAAGCTGCTGAATGTATATCCAGATATATGGATATACATATCTTCAAATTATTGTGTAGAGTTTCCTAAAAATCCCATGACATCCTTGCCTGAGAGCCATTATTTCTTTACTGACAGCTATTAGATCTTATTAAGAAGTTAATTTAACCTTGCAAGTCAGTCTCATCTCTTCGTTGACCAAGATTTGTACTGGGCTGTATGTGTTCACCTTTTGCCTGTATGAGTGATTATGTCAATCAGATAGTCAGAGACCAAATCATTCTCCTCCCACATAATGAATTTCTGAAGTATATTTCAATATATAATGTAAATACCTAGTTGTTGTACTTGATTGTTAAATAAATTATGTTAGGTTAATGACAAGGATTACTGTAACTGATGAATTTATTCCTGGAATAAGTTTATTGGTTTCATATTTTTTCGAATATAGCTGAGTAAACTACTCAATTTATGAAGTTATGTGTACATGAAAAAGCCTTGCCACATAATCCAAACTCCAGTGCAAAGGAGATTATTTGTAATTGATATGCTGTAGATAGTTTTGATGCAAAAAATATTGATTGCTGTTTAGGACAGAATCCTGTGGATCCTAACGAGCATTTGTAGACCTGCATCAGCAGGGTTCAAGAGCTAGTCATGAAAGAAGCTATGAAAAAACTTGTAATGTGGCAAGAACCTTACTCAGCAATAAAGTAGTGCTGTGTTCTTAATCATCTTAAATTGCAGTATCTTTTTGATAATGTGACCTTATGAAAAATCTTTTTTTTTTCTGAAAGGTTTCGAAGTATTGCTAAATCATACTTCAGAAGAGCAGATGGTGTTCTACTGCTGTATGACGTAACGTGTGAAAAAAGCTTTCTTAATGTGCGAGAATGGGTGGATATGATTGAGGTAAGACCCTTAAATATATACAGCTTATGAACTATGTTTCACTGCATTGTTAACCTTATTACTTGTAAAATTTGTGTATCTATGTAATGGAATTAGCCAGACTGCAGTCTCTCATAGCAGTAAAAAGCTACATGGAAGTCCTGAATGTATCCTGTTATATTCAGCTAGTGTTAAAACTGATATGTATTTTGTATAAAATGTACCGTGTAATCACACTCTGCCCATTCAGGTCTTTTTCAAATGAACGTCAGAGACTGTTCCAGGTACTTTCTTGTGGATGGCTTGAGTATTCCTGGGAGTCCTTGCCTTTTAAACCAATAGATTTAAACTAATACGTTCTGTAAATCAGCTGTAGTTCAAGTCAGATTTTTGGTATTCCTTTCTATTGTTACTTCTTGTTTGTTTGTTTGAATACAGATTTTACATTTAATAAAAAGTGGTTTTCTCCTGTACCAAAGATGTTTAGTAGGAGAGAAAGTGATAGCAAAATCTCTAATACATCTTTTGAAAGACGTGTTTCTTTTAATCATGAAATAAGATGCATTTCTTATAACCACGGTATAGGAGTTGGTCACTTTTCCCATAGTGATATTGTCCTGCAGCATTTGCATACAGTAACTGTTTCTGTTAGATTAACTTAACACATTAAATTACTTGTTGAGAAACATGATTTATGGGAATGGAAGCACATCTTCATAGGCAAATTTTAAAGATGAGTCCTTAAATATTGACTAGCTCATGAAGAGTACTCAGCGTAACTTTCGTAATTTGTCTTTTATTGTGATGGTGTGCAAGACTTGTTTTTGTGAGAAGGAAATAAGTATGATGTGATGGTGCTGGTTACTTTTTCATATTCTGAGTGTTCTAGCAGTAAGGAAGTAAAATCTTCTTTACAGGATGCAACTCATGAGAATATTCCAATTATGATGGTGGGAAACAAAGCAGATCTCCGTCAAGCTGTTACAGAACAAGGGCAAAAATGTGTGCCTATAAACTATGGAGAAAAGCTGGCTATGGTAAGGACCAAGTCTACCTCTTTAGTATAAAATAGTCTTAAGAATTTTAATCTGAAAATCATGTGAGAAACTAGTAAAGAAAATCTAGCAGTGAGGATTCGTGGATGCTTTTTATGAAAACTATCCTATTGTGATGGTGTTTCCTGAGCTAGATCACGTCTCAGTGTCCACTGAGTTGAACTTCATTATCGGCTGGGATAGTCTTCTCAGTCTTTATGGTGAAAAAGTGGATGGATTAGGAGTCTTGAGTTCTTCTCCTGCCAGTGAGAAATGGATGGTGCAAATAGGAAACATGCTAGTGAGCATATGAAGCTTTTTTCCTGGGTTGTGTCTCTCCAGCTTTTGAATGGAATATTTTCATCTTCAAGACACTGTCTTACATTCCTACCACATCTTCAGAAAGAAAAGAAGGAATTCTCCGCTATAAATAGAAGGGTAGATGAGTATTTTGCATGCATTTGTGTGAGGGTAAGGGATGCACATATCCTGTATTTTACAGAAAAAGAAAGAATCTTTAGAGTCTCGAGTTGCTGGGTGTGTGCGCAATTGCTTGATTATACTGGGGCAAATATCACGTCTGCTACTTATGGAATGGTATTTCTGGTTAACCTAGAATACCAGGTATTTAGTGAATAAGTAGCTAATGAGTTGGATTCAGTAATCTACGCGAGCAACTCTCTTCCTGTTTTGCAGTCTTATGGACAAGAAGGTTGAGTTTGGACATTTAGCCTACAACATGTTTTTTATTCAGCTTGTTAATTCAGAATATACTGCATATAAAAAAAGATGCAATTAAAAATCAATTACTGTTTTCTTTCACAGTACTTAGATGAATATATTGGAGAATGAAGACTACTGAAAGAAAACTTTTCCTTTAAATGTGTGTCATCTTTCTTCGTGTTATTGAGGAAACCGTTTGTGACTGAATAGACGTAGTCACATAGGAACCTTTACAGATTAGTTGGCTTAACATTTTATTTTTACTCACAGACTTACAATGCACTGTTCTGTGAAACAAGTGCTAAAGATGGATCTAACATTGTAGAAGCAGTTCTTCATCTTGCTCGGTAAGTAGCCATGTTTCTTTTTCTGAATAAACGCATCCGAGTATGTTTTATAAAAAGGACATTATAGGTGAACATAAATACAAAGACACACATGTACATTTAAAATTGTACCCTAATTAATTTCAACAAAATTTTTAAGAAGAATGCCAGTTAAATCTTTATAGATAAATTCAAGACTAGATTTATTCTTGTTTTAATCAAGTAACATTTTTGCTTGCAAATGTTACAGAACTGTCTCAATAATTAATATTTAAATTAGAGCTTAGTTACGGAGCTCACAATTTTAAAACTTGGTTGGTGAATGAGTTACATTTTTTTAATGGTACCTGGATGTGCTTTCTTAATTCTTTCTTAAATTAATTTCAAATTTGTGTAATTCTATGTATAATTAATCCTTAATTCTTTCATGTATAGTAATATATTTTCAGTTTTTTTTACTGACCATTCTAATCCCACATATTTTCTTTGATGTCCCTTTCTGTGAATTATTTAAAGATAGGGATTCTCATTATATTAATTTAGCCACCTGGTATTGCTGTGGTAAAGTATGATCCAAACATTCTGCTTCTACCTTTCCAAAGCATTCTTGGTTGCAATGTAATTTCAAAGGGCTACAATGTAATTTTGAAAGGCTGGTGGGCTGTTATGAATCCTCAGCTCCTGATTTTTTACTTTAACACATGAAGCTTAAAGGCCAGAATTACAAACCATATTCATGTGATTTTTGCAGCAGCTGAATGCTCTATTCAAACTTTTTGACATTTGGTCAGTATTTGATTATTCTTTGTTAAAATACTACTGATTAATATGGCCTGAATACAAAATATTGCCTTTTTAGAAAGGATCACTTCTTCTTCAAATGGGATTTTTAAGAGCACCTGTTTTTCCAGGAAAACGCATCCATCAGAGGTGCAGCAAGAACAGAGGCATTTATTCGTCTGCCAGTGTCGATATGAAGTTAATTGCTGATTTTTCAAATAACTCATTTCCAATAACCTGGCCATGAATGCAGCATGGGTTATGACACAGATAGCACAGTTATATAAGATTATTCTCTAACGTTTCAACATGCTGACGTTGTTTAAAAAAAAAAAAAAAACAAAAAAAGAAGACATTTTTCTCCATAAGGTTCATTGATCCTCAAATGGTCTAGACATTACCCAGAACCTGGTCTGGAATGATTGGCTGCATTTTCTTTCCTCAAGTCTTAGTAATTTGTATTCTTTGAAAGAAACATTGCTCTTTAAAACAAAAATTTCTAATGGAGCATTCTGTTCCCATTATGTTGAATAATACAGTGTTTTGAGAGAAAGTTCATTGATTTATTCCCACTTGGTCCCCATGTGTTGCCTGGTCTGGTCGAGAGGTGGCGTCCCTGCCCATGACAGGGAGGTTGGACTAGATGATCTCTAAGGTCCCTTCCAGCCTAGGCCATTCTATGATTCTATGATTCTATGATTTATTCAACTAATATCAAGTGTACTTGTATGACTTTTTACATTTATGTGTGTAAAATTAGGAAATTATAGAACTGGCTTTTAACATTCTAGGGGGCTCAGTAAGAATAAAGATCAAAAATCACGTATATGTACACAGCTTTTAAACATAAAACATCCAACAAATATATTGTTCCTGTGAAGATAAATTTATACGTGAAATTGCAGTTATTTAGTTTTATACTCTTAGCTATGAACATATTCTATTCCTATGAAAAGAAGAAGAAAGGAAAGGGAAACTGAACATTATTGCATTATTACATATCAGAAATTACTATGTATCTATCATAATAACATAATAATATAGTAACTATAATTTGTATAGAAATGTTGATATGATTCCCAAACTGGAAACTTAGGAGACATGTTGATTCTGTGCACTAAAAAGCATGATTTTGACAATGCAATGGATGAGGGTGAACTCTGTAACGTATATTGGGAAAAACAGAGCAGTGAACATGAATAGAAATATATTAACTGAGTGCATTTTGTTTGTTTGTTTGACTGGTTTTTTTTTACAGTGAAGTGCGAAAACGAAGTGATAATCAAGATGATACGAGGTCAGTAACAAGCCTAGCTGGGACACCTGTCAAAAAATCGACACTCATGAAAAACTGCTGCAATGTTTAAGTGACAGATACTTTTTTTGACCTAGTTAACTTGTATAATTTTTTTTAAAAAATGAAGGATTTCAATAATGTATTGTTTTTATAATGGATTTAAACATTTGTGTATCTAGAAATCGCACATCATGTTAAAAATCCAGACTCTTACTTTCTATTCATTCATATTTGTGCACTTGCTTTGCCCCATAGGTTCTGTTTTCACTTTTTAAAAGTCAAATAAGTCAGTGAAGTGACCTCAGAATCAACGCTACAGTAGACACTGCATACAATTTGTAATATATCTTCTTTACCCACATGTTTTCTTATGGGATCAATATTTCTTACATACAAAACATGATAATATTGTATATTGCTTACAAGGAGAGAAAAATTAGGCTTTGATTAATTTAATCTCTTTCTTCATGTGTCTGCTTACCTAATTTTTTGAAGGCCTTAAGTTGCATGTTATTGAAAAGTTGTGCATGAAAACCCCAAAAGATTAAAAGGTTCCCTAGATCCAGATAAAGCCTAAGTTCAGGGCGTGAAACAGAATGGCCTCTGTTGGCTGAAGGCAATGGCAGATGCATGAGGTTTTTGTGTAGTTTTGCACAAGTTGGTGAGTTAGCATTTATTTAATTTTGGGAGTTGGAGTTTGATTCAGAACTGAGTAGGCTTTGCATCTGATCCCACACAGCTCAAAGTGAAATGAAGGTTTGCGTGGATCATTACTGTTCAAAATTGTATGGATAATATACTACCTGTGATATGTGTATATAATACCTGTGATATTTCCTGAGATGATTTAATGATTCAATACCTGCCTGTCTGTTTAGACTAGATCATTATTAGTATTACAGAGAGATAATAGGTTGTAACTTTTCCCTCATTTTCAAATGTCTTCCATTCAGACACCAAGTGAGGGTCTGTAATAGTACAGAGGAGCCTGTTTTAATGGATATTCTTTATGCATTTTTGAAGTTTTAAACCTGCAGATGAAAGAATGGCTGCACATGCACAAGCATCTGTTTAAAGTGTTTACTGGAAGTCCCTGAAATGAACAGCAACCACTTACCTTAATGAGAATTCCTTTGTCTGATTTTAGAAAAATTCTGGTGGTACCTTTAGGTGTAATCATCTCAAAAAAAGAGTTATTATTGCTTATAATAGCTCCCAACAGTCCCGTAGCGTAGTAAAAATTGTTGTTAGCTTTTACTAATTTTGACCATAATGGGATAAAGCCCCTTCAGAGCCAGCAAACTGTTTCAGTCATTTCTGTGTGTATTAATATAACAACTCCAGGCTGAAAACTAGTTCAGTGAGAGGTTCTCGTCCCCTTCTACTCTGCCCTGGTGAGGCCCCATCTGGAATATTGTGTCCAGTTCTGGGCCCCTCAGCTCAAGAGAGACAGGGAACTGTTTGAGAGAGTCCAGCGCAGAGCAACTAAGATGGTTAAGGGAGTGGAGCATCTCCCTTATGAAGAAAGACTGAGGGAGCTGGGTCTCTTTAGCTTGGAGAAGAGGAGGCTGAGAGGTGACCTCATTAATGTTTATAAATATGGGAAGGGTGAGTGTCAGGACGACAGAGCTAAACTCTTCTCAGGGATGTCCAGTGACAGGTCAAGGGGCAATGGATACAGTCGATACAGTGGATACACAGAAGGTTCCACAAAAACATTAGGAAAAGCTTTTTCACTGTGAGGGTGACAGAGCACTGGCACAGGCTGCCCAGGGAGGTTTTGGAGTCTTCCTACTCTGGAAACATTTTAAAAATGCCTGTGTGACCTACTGTAGGTGATCCTGCTCTGGCAGGGGCGCTGGACTAGATGATCTTTTGAGGTCCCTTCCAATGCCTGACACTGTGTAATTCTGTGTGATTCTATGAATCAGCCTTGGATAAAGTTTTGTGGACTGACTGGGAACCTGTACAGCTAACAGCTGTTACTGCATTCTGTCAGCACTATGTATGAATGCCCTATAGCCTGTGCTGTGTTATCAGCTTTATCAGGTTTATAAAACGTGGAGTTCTCAGAAGAAGGATGGTTCATCATTTTAGAAAAAAAAAATCCAAACAGTTTTCTAGGTATCCTTTCAAACTTCTAGATCAGAGCAGCTAATATTCAAGGAACTATCTGAAAGCTTGTTCTTAACAAGACAGAGAAATCTTACTCCGGAAGGAATAAGACATTTTATTGTGCTGTTTTGTACTTCATCCCTGGAAGAAAAAACGTATTTCATGTCCTTTTTGAAGTACTAAGGGAATCTTCACACACAACTTATTCCATGTAGGAGACTTTAGAGTTGTAGCATCTTCTCCCACAGCAGTACAAGAGGTCATACTGTATTCCTAAGACTTCTCTGGAGCAGGTGGCAGAGAATGAAGGAGATGCAGGTGTACCATGTCACATAGGTGTGCCTGGTCACATGGGTATTCTTTACTATTATCTCTGTATTATTTAAACAAAATTACAGCTGTAACTAGCTTCTCTAAGGGGAAAACCACACTTAACTGAACTCATTGATGAAGACCTATTCTGTATTCTTCTGTATTCTGTGTGTAAAAGCTTATCTCTCCCTAAAGGAGTGAAAAGGAAGTAGGATTAATGCAGGTTGTACTTGCTGCAGAAGGGGAGAGGGAGATGACCCAGTGCTTGGTTTCTGAAGTATAAGCTTGCAACATGCAGGTGTTTGCATTTGTCTGGATGAAGTGGTCACGTCAGGATGAAGCAGTTACGTATGTTCCAAAATATTGCTCCTTCAGTGTTACTAACTTCTGTTAACTTGTACAGCTCAGACTGAAGCTCAATATTCTCTGTGTGTCTCCTGAACCACAGTGTTTGACCAGCTGTGTGGTCCTGGCCTGCAGTAAATGAGGTGAAATCTTTGCCTAAACCTTGTTGACACATCTGCATGAGAAGATGTTTTGGTTGGATACAGAGAAACACATAAAGTTGTGTGGAAAGATTTCTGGAAGTAGTTTTGTCCAACCTTCCAAGCACCCAAGCAGAGATGGATACTTGCCAGACTTAGATCAGATTAGTGGTGAGTTTGGCTAATCAGACTGAAAATCTCTAAGGGCAGAGATATCACCACCAATCTGGGCAGCCTATTCCCAGGCTTGCACTTCCTGTTTGGATATAAATTTCTCTGCATGGCCAACCTCAGTTTCCCAGGTGACTATGGACCTGTAGCTTTTTCCTCTCATTATATCATTTCCTGTTACCAAGAAGAGTTTGGTTGCGATCTTGGTAACTCCCATTTCACTGTCTGTAGGCGGTTAGATCCCCCTTTGGCCTTCTCTTCAGTATAATAACATTGTGAGGTACCTTTTGCAAATATAAGTTCCACATCCCAAAGTTAGCAGAATGCATGCATGTGCAGTAATTGCTTTCATGTCTGAGATTCTTACCATACAAAGTGTGCCATGTGAATGTCCATGCCTGTACAGAGCCTGGCTGAAGGGTGTGAATTCAGGGACCTGCCTTCACACCTATTTTCTTTTCGTCTCTGCGGGATTGGGCCATTGATATTTTGGGTACTTTTTTTTTTATTTATTCTAATGGCCAAAATATGTCTTGTGTTATTTGTCCAAATTATGTAAACTGAATCTCTTTATTTTAAACTCTGTGATTTTTATGTGTCATGTAATGCAACTTTAGTTTGAAACAGTGTTGTGTTTTTTTTTTTAAACAAGATCCAGGCTGGAAACTGTTAACAGTTCTACATTGTTTTATGGTCAATGTGTAAGTTAGTGAAAAAGCACTACCAAATGGGGATATAGCTGTAGCTCACTTGGAACTGGCTTTAGAAATCCTGTGATGATCAGCTCCACTGAGTGAATGTTTGCATGATATCATGTAGAATTCATGTTAAAGCTAAAGAATTTGGAAAAAAAAATTGCAATTTAGAAATTAAAGCATATATTTATACATGGAAATGATGAATATATAATGTTTTCTTTTGTTTTGCTTTGAAAGGTTGCCTTGTCTTCTACCTAAAATGTAAAATGGCAAACATGAGCTCTAACATGGTTGCACTATTGTACTTTACATGTTTTTATGGGTTTATTTAGTACAGAGGAACTATTCATTTAATCACACAAAGTTATTTTTTTAGTTGCTGGATATGTTCCCTTAACACATGTATTTATTTGAAAAGGAAAGGACTTTCATGGTTTTCCGTATGATCTGTAAATAAATTATTTGTATTCAGTTGGCATGGAAGTATTATTTTATCCTGTATTAGTTATGACCCTTTTTAATTGTGGCGTAGTACACATTTTTAAGGCAATAATTAATGTGAGATTTCTCTGAAGATATTTTAATCATGTAAGGTCTTGTAACCACTTTCTGCCTGTTTAGCATACATTAGTGGCTTAATAAGAAAAGCTGCAGCTCCCTTTAATTGCTCCTAGAAGTACGGTTATGGCCTAACATGGTTTAAGTATTTTCCTGTGTAACAATTTTTTATATTGACTACAAAATCCTCTACTATTTTAAGGAAAATAAATTACTGCTTTAAATCTGTATAGCCTCTTATAATATATTCCAAGGGAAATACCTATAGGCCACCCCTGCAAGTAGCATCACGTATATGTGCATGCATGCAGATCCCCAGTTAAGCTAATAGGTTCTATGCTAGTGCAGGCAATCTGTTCATATGTAGATCCTTCTACAGAGGTATGTTTGTTTTTTTTCCCAAGACCCCTAATTCATGAACTACAGAGAGATATTCATTCATATATTCAAGACACTTTATTATATTAAAAAGAAACCTATGTCCAAGATATTTCTGACTGTATTAGGCAATTAAAAAAACCCCACCAATATTTCATGTGCAGTTCAAATGCCCTTTACCATTACCCGTGCCAGACTGGATTTAGCGTGTAATGCAATTCCTCTGACCCTGTCCAGGCTGCTCATGGATTGGAGAAGTTTTTTACAGCACCAGTTATTTTATCAGTTCTCTCCCACTGTATTGCTATGGGGTCTAATCCTTTCTTATTGGTATCCTTAGGACTGATAACATC